AGTTATCCATGAAAAAAAAAACATTGAAATAAAATTAAACTAATACTAACATTCCTATGCTTAGTTTGGCAAATAAAACAAAAATAGAGAATTCCTATAATTCTCTACAATTAGATTTTTGTCCTCTACCAATCCTCTACTAATCCACCAATTATTTCAATACACTTGAGTCGCAAACAAATGGGTCACACTGTAAAAAAAATGTTTTGCTTATTTTTTTTTAAACGATAGTTTTAGAATAATAATAATAATTTTTTGTTCCAAATTAAATTACCTTTTAAAATTTGTCAAAATATACAGGGTGTCCCATTTTCAATTGTTTTTCATTTTTCACCATATTGACAGTTTTTCACAGTGAAAGTAAAGAAAATGTTTTATGAGGACTTTACAGTGGAATCCGTGCCCGAATTTAAGTTATAGTTTACTGCCGGCGAAATTAAAAGGTCAGTACAATGTTCATATAAACTTTTCAAATATTGGCGTTGAGAAACTATTTAATACTTGTATTTTGTATTGAGATAATAAAATAATTTTCACATTTAGTATTATTTTACAAGAAAGGCAATTTATTTTAACGATTGTATGACATTTGACAACTGTCAACTAACTTCAGCCCGTGACTAAAAACCTGTTGCTAACTTCAGCCCGTAACTAAAGCGCCATAAAGCCACAACTTGTCAATGTGTATTTAAAAGGTCACTTAGTGTCATGGAAACATGTACGATTAAGGGCGTTTTAAATGTGGGAGTAGAAAAAATATTTTAAAAACATTTTCCACAACTTGTGGGAGCCAGGATGACTTTTTATTAATAACTTATTGTCTGAATCTTATCCATAAACTGCTTTTCGATAAGAAACAAAAAAATTGTTTATAAACAAAATATCAAGCAGGCAATGTTATGTTAGCTGGGGACTCTCTATTATTCTAGGCAGCGCAAAACTCGGTCAAACATGAGTTTGGATAGATACTTAATAGGGGGACCCTACTGACCTATATTTCGTTAACTTTGAGTTGAGGGTGAAAAATAAATGAACACATCGCCCCGCTAAATGCACTCAACGTGAAAAATATGCATTTGCAATTTTTCTCGACACAATCAATTCAACTAATTGCTTAATTTGTTAATTAGACGTAAGATTTGTTTTTACTTCAATATATTTTATTAATGCATACATCAATATTAATGATAACAATTTTATTGATGTTAATTTTATGGTTCATCAAAATATATGTATGTAAGTATATCAGTAGGTAATGCTATAAAATATTTTGTTGATACAGTGTGTTTTGTTTTTATTGGCGTCAATTTGGTATTTATTTAAAAATAATACGATTTTTTGTTTATAGTATCTACCTACTAGAAAAATAGAGAAAAAAATGGCATATGTTATTTCTCCAAATTTAAAAAATGCCTAATAACTTTTGACGTTCTATTAATCATAGTGACATTTCTTCAAAACATAAAGCTTTTTGAGTCTACTTCAAACTAAAAATATATTTTTCTAAATATAAAATATGTGGACTTTTTCAAAAAAATATACAAAAATTAATTTTTTTGTGTCAAAAAATTTTCAATCGAATAGGAACAAAAATACCGTCCGACTTACATACATATGTGACCTTGCGGTGTAAAAATTTTGCTCGCTTACGTAGCACACATTCAGCATTATAAATGATTAGTACAAATAGCATTGGATGACATTGGAGCCAATGAGACAGGTGGGTAGGACAGTCGCGTTTGTCACCGTTGTGGTGGGGATGTCACACGCGCGATGTGCGCATGCGCGGGGCGGTCCAACTGTGTCACCTGCAGGTACGCCTCTGACACCCGCTGCGGGCTGCCCTCTGGCGGCGGCCGACGGTAAACGCGGCAACGTCTCGCTAAACAATCCGCCGGCATCGGCAAAGCTGCGGCAAAGAGAGGTACGCCGTCTAGCGGGCTTACGGGAGGAGCAAGTCTACGATTCTTTTTGTTTAAGATTGTTTATGTTATTATTTTGTCTTTTTATGTTAATATATTGTTAAATACATAAAAAAACATTACAAATTTAATAAAACAAAGATATTTTTTTTATGTTGTAAAAATAAAACTTTAATTAATTTTAGTTATTGATTTCGGCAGTATGCTAAGTATATCGCAATTAAGTGCCTATTTATAGTTTAGTAAAGTTTATTATTCGAGTAGCTTGGAATGCGTTAAAATATTTGTAAAACATGCTGGGAAAGAAAATCGATGGTTCTCGAGATTTTCGGTCGTAAAGAAAACAGAAGCAACAAAAAGGTCCAGACGTCGTATTAATTAAAGGTTTTTGCGAGTTTTTCTTTTGGCGAACGGATGGGAGTGGCCTAGGGAGAATTGTCACTGCGAGAAGGACTGTCACTTGTCCCGGCGGTTGCGCATGCGCGCCGTCTTGGGGACCATAGGCCGTCAGGACGCTGTGACACGCCCGGCGTCCCGTTGACCCTTGACCCCTCAGCATCGAACGGTCACACGGTTGCTCCGTACGGTCCTCTCTTCTATTTTTCCCCTTTCCCACCTCTCGAGTCTCTTATGTCGGTCCCGAACGGCCGGACAGCTATGTCTGTGCCCTCCACCCTTACACAACAGACATGAACCGCGGTAAGTATACGCAGACACTGTAAAAAAAACCACCTGGACCACTTGGCCATTCAAATCGAAACTATTCATCGTTCAATACGATTAACTGCTTTTTGTTTAAAAAGTTTACGATCCCGACACAAAAATCAGCTGCTGAATAAAACTAATAAACGAAAAAAATTAAAACATTAGATTTTGGCCCTTGACCCTAAGCTTTAACGGAACTATTTTGCAGCTGACCCGAAGAATTATCACATGTTTACAACATCATTGGTGAATATGATAACGAAAATTCGCCGATTGTCAAATAAAAATTATTTGTTATTCATTGATTAAAGAAAATGTATTTGCGCGAACATTTTGTAATATAGATATATTTCGATATGTTTTTGGATTTTGGATGACTTTTTTTGAATGTGTAGAAATTTAATAAAATTAAGTACTTGTTGCTTTGTACCGGCGAAATAGTTACATAGTGTTTATTATCATAATAAATTTATAAATTGATAATTAAAAAACGCCTTCGTTTCAGGAAAATCAAGGACAGTTGGCAGAAATAACGCCGATGGTGCGAAGAGTTTTTTGGAAATCGTAAGTATATTTTTTTCTACCACTTTTTCCGATTGTAAAATTTCCTGGTTTATCAAACAATTTTAATGACTTCCCGAACTGAAAGAAATTAACCAATAAATGTTTTGAATGTTAAAATATAAATGTTGTTTTAACAAACTAAAATTATTAAATTAAAATTTCAGAAATTAATTTTAACCTTTAAACCTTTTTTTGGTCCAAATATTGAAATAAAATACACGGAGTTTTGTAATGGACGAGTGCGACAAAAGGTCTTATGACATTAGTTCTTTATGCTATTTTATCTATATTGCAAAAAATTAATTTTAAACCTTAAATTTAATTTGGTCGAATTTTACTTTAGATAGTTGGTATCACAGTCATTGGTTTGACAGTTAATGTCAAAATCGATTCGCCATGCCGTACTTAATTTACTTATTTACAATAAGAGGCTGTTAATGTTAAAGAAGAAAAAAAGGATTTTCTTTGGTGTTAAACAAAATTTATTGCCAAAAAAGTCTCGTAAGTACTAGAAAAATCCTAAAAATATTATAATCAATGTGCAAAATATTATGCTGTTTAAAGTATAGCCAACCTATAAAATCAAAATTTTGGGTGGGTTAAAAAATTAATTGTTACCTAAATCAAATAGTAATAATATTGATTCAAAAAATTTTACTTACAAAAGAATGTTTTATTTAAAATATTGGATAATTAAACCAAATATAAAAGTATGTAAATGTAACTGGAAAGGTTGAATAAAATATAAAATTTATTAAAAAAAATTTATAAAGCATGATAGATTTTTGTTACTTTTTTTTTTAATTTTTGTACCCAAAATTTAATCAAAATCAAAAAATCTGACTTTCATAAAAAAATCCAATTTTTTTTCTTTAAAAAAATCATAATTTTTTTAACCCTGGTTTTAAAACAAACAAAAGTTTAATTAAATATGTATGCACTACTTAAATACGTACATATACAAACTTGAATATGTGTACACTATAGTTAACCGTAATAGTTTTTTTGTATTCCTCTTATTTTTTTAAAAAAACCATTAAGCCTTTTAAAATTTCGGCGTTTAAAAGCTTTTCCTCATCGATATCTTGTCCTACAATAAAGTTTATTTTATGGTAAAATAATAACAATTAAATAAACCTACCTTTAAAAACCTCGATTAGGTTTGCAAATCCCCATTTGTCTAATAACGATTCCATTGCTAATTATGAAACACTAAACACTAACGCGAGAAAATATTACTTTAAACTTAGCTTCGTCTTCAATTATTACAAAACAATAATATTAAACATATTAGAGACATTCTGTATTGTAAAAGATAGGTATCTTAATTTTAAAATATTTTAAGTTTGTAAAGGCCAAAAATTCAAAAATTTTACAAATTCGTTTAATTTTTGTGTGTGTATCCATTTAACTAAAAGAAAAATGATTTAAACAAATTTCTTAACAATATTTATTCAATATACGTTTAGTGCTGATATACTGATTTAAATAAAATGAACTATTGAATTAACATTTTTAATTTGACATTCTCAAAATATTAATTGAAAGTAAAATTTAAGTTTATGTCAACAAAACTTTTGATTTAACAAGACTTAAAACTTTTCATAGCTCAAAACTCAAATAACACAAATTCTCTTAAAACTGTTTTAATGGGTACATAGTTTTTGAACACCCTGTGTATTAAAAAAAATAAAAAAACATTTACGTGAAAACATATTGATGCCTAATAAATAAAACACATCATAATAGCAAAATTTTAACATGTAGAAGAATTTTGTGTCGCTAAGTTGTCTAAACTGAAAAGTGGTAGGGGTGGGGGGGATAAGGCGTCACAGCGTGGTGACAGCGGTGTGACAATGCCGCGGTCGCAACCGCGTGGCAAGTAATAATATTAAGGAAAACTTAAATCGAACGCATTGACTAATTGTAAAATGCAAATTAACAAAATAAAAATAATAAAATGAACGTGCACATAGGAAAATCGTTTTTTACCGAGAGAAGTCGGTTGTATTCGAAGCAAACGGTGGGGAAGCTAAAAGCTGCTTAGTACTCTTGTCTACCATTGACCTGGTTGGAACAAAACAACGTGCGATCGTCTTTATGTATATGAATAAAATCAATTGAAAAACCATGTGCTCGATTATTTAACAGTGAACAACCAAAAAAATCGGTTTGGGTGACTAAATAATACCATGTTCAATTATTTCAAGTGCGTGACTGTGACACTAATACATGCCCGATAAAAAAAAATGAGCACCTCCCAACCGTTAAGGCCCATGCTGAACGTAAGTCACAATTTAAATTCTACTCCCACCACAAATATTGATACCGTGCGACGCGTCGTTTGTCAACGTGCGCATGTCAACTGCATGTTGTCAATTGTAAAATATTTTTAGACTAAAAATTTCTATTGTACTTATAAAAATTAAAATTTTTCGTACCTGCCTATTTAAAATTTGCAATTAAAATTTTACTACGCCACTTAAAAATTTACGCACTGGAAATAAAGGTTATTTGCCTGCATTTAAATTATTGTTTCTAATAGAAATAGAAATAGAAAAAACCTACAGGCAATCAGAGGCAAAAACTGCCAATTTATTATTATAATATTTCTAATATTTTTTTTGCGATGTCGATTAAACAATAGCACGACTTTTTATTTTTCATTGGCTACCCGGCACTGATGAGTTACAAACGACCTGTCGCTGTGTGTGAACCTCACTTAAAACAAAAGCACGGTGACAAGTTTGGCAATACCCTATTTTTGCCACTTTTTAAAATGCCTTGTTTTAATAGTTTTAATAGTTTAATGTGCCTTTTTTGTGGCAGTAGACATTAAACCGTAACTCAAAACGTAAAAAACTCCAAAAAGTAGAAGACCTATTTATTGACACTTTATAAAATGTATTCTGTTTTAATAGTTTAATGAGCCTTTTTTGTGATAGTAGTAACCATTACTCAAAACGTAAAAAACACCAAAAAGTAGAAGACCTATTTATTGACACTTTATAAAATGTATTCTGCTTTAATAGCTGTAAAAGTTTAATGTGCCTTTTTGTAGCAGTAGACATTAAACCATTACTCAAAACGTAAAAAACTCCAAAAAGTAGAAGACCTTTTTATTGACACTTTATAAAATCTCTTCTGTTTTAATAGTTTTTATAGTTTAATAAGCCTTTTTTGTGCTAGTAGATATTAAACCATTACTCAAAACGTAAAAAACTCCAAAAAGTAGAAGACCTATTTATTTACAAATGTCTTCTGTTTTAATAGTTTAATGTGCCTTTTTTGTGGTAGTTATAGGCATTAAACCATAACTAAAAACGTAAAAAACTCCAAAAAGTAGAATACCTATTTATTGGCACTTTTTAAAATGTCTTCTATTTTAATAATTTTAATAGTTTAATGTGCCTTTTTGTGGCAGTAGACATTAAACTATTACTCAAAACGTAAAAAACTCCAAAAAGTAGAAGACCTATTTATTGACACTTTATAAAATGTCTTCTGTTTTAATAGTTTTAATAGTTAAATGTGCCTTTTTTATGATAGTAGACATTAAAGCATTACTCAAAACGTAAAAAACTCCAAAAAGTAGAAGACCTATTTATTTACAAATGTCTTCTGTTTTAATAGTTTAATGTGCCTTTTTGTGGTAGTTGTAGACATTAAACCATTACTCAAAACGTAAAAAAAATCCAAAAGGGGTCTATTTAGGTATAGATATTAAGCTATGAAAATATAAACATTTAATTAAAAAAAACCTCTGAAATGGGTAAAAAAATGATAAAGCTGTGTTTATCACTGTTTTCAAGCGAACACTGATAATTGCAGGGACCTTAGCACGCAAGTTTCGATTAAATGACAACTAAATCGTTACGTAGCGTATAATTTATCTGAATGGTTTAAACCATGGTTATTAAAGGCGGCTTCAATTTCTTAGCATTTTTAAAATCAACCTCGAGAAATTTTAAATGATACACGACACAAAGTTAATCGCTTCACATTTTGCAATTACCACAAATCCTAGTTATTAAAAAATCGTTTCGATTGAATGGCGTTTTTTGTTTCGTTGTGTTGCGATTGTCGCTTTTGAGAACTTTGTCACAAAATTGCCGCAATTTGGGGCCACTTTCGACTTGGTTATTATCTAAAAAAACTCGTAAACTATTTTTTGACAAAATTCGTAGAAAATTGAAATTATACCCACTTTATTATTAGCTGCTGGTAACGTGTAATGCTCGAACGGTCACAGAAATAAGCAAAGCTTTGTTGGTTATGCAATTATCTATTTCAATTAAAAATCCCGATTGGATGTTAATTAAATGATAAAATCGCTCATTACCTATTAGATTCATATATTACATGGCTATGCGACAGTGCAATTTATCAGCAAAGCACAAGTGCAACATACTTCGTTAGAAATTAACTGTTTTTTCTATTATTGTTTTGCTTCTTTTTACATTTAAAAATTAATATTCTCCAGACAAAAATATTTACTTAAATTATGTATACAGGGTGTTTAACGTTCGTGGTCCATTAAAAGTTTCTGGGGAACGGCAAAAGATATCGATGTCATTGATTTCCTATATATACCTAAATTTAACAATTTTTAATATTAGAACCAAAATAGTCAATAAAGACGTTTTTGGTGAATACATTTTTTTATTGCAAGAAAAATTTACAAATAATATGAACCTTTGGGCTAGGTTTACAAAATGCTCTTTCTAAAAAGTTCTAAAACATTATGCTTTCCTGTAAAAAGTCAAGATTAAATATATACATAATTTTAAAACATATATCGACTGCCTTAATTAAATGAAAATTTAAAATATTACTTATTAAGTGTATATTTTAAAAACTAAAAATGCATTCACTAAAAAATTAAAAATAAAAAAAAATATCCAAAAAAGTCAAAACAAAACAAATAACTTCACAAGCTCACACACCTCGGTTTCGTCAATGTCCACTCCGTATATTAGGCACAAAACTAAAAAAATAATCCAAAAAGGTCAAAAATGTTTAAAATAACTTCACAAGCTTACACACCTTGGCTTCGCCTTATATTTATCACAATTTCACTAATAAAGCTTTTGGGTTAAACGCGGAACTAACCTTTTAACGCTATAAGACTGACTGAAGATAAAAATTGCATGTAAAAATTCGCCACCCAAAAGTGGTGCGATGACCAGAAGTCTACGACAGCGATTCGTAGTAATAGTGTTAATGTTGATTGATTCATCGTACGGCAGCATTAATTTTGGCGCGTTTTTAGAATTGAATGGTTAAGTTTGTAAAATCAATGTTTAGTGACCGTTGGGACAATGAAGACGGTTTATTATTATTTATGTTTGCTGTTCATGGATCAATGACGAAAAATTTATTATTTTAAAAATAAATTTTTACATTATTTTTTAGTTTATTAATTTTACGTACAGTTTTTCTTTCTGCGAAGTAGTTATTTGTAACACTAGTAAATACCCTATTTTTTTAAATTCCATGATACATAAGAAAACCTATATTTAAATTTAAATTAAATCGGTTAATTTAAAAAAAAATACTTATTATTCTAAATGTTCAAAATCTTTGTTCTGAGCTGGTATAACTTCCATACAATGTGTTATGTTGGAAAAGACCCGGGTAAGGTGAAAACAAACGTGATCGATTAAAAATACGGCCTAGGGTTGTTTGAGTAAACTGTAAACATTTTTACTTTCGGTACGGGGATGGAATTTAGCGGCAGCGGCATCGGGCAGCATCTGCATATATTAAGCGGAAAATTTTAATGTTACTTACAAGGATGATTTATTTGCGGACGCCATTTAATCAACCTCTATTTAGGCACGTTTAATGCTAATTCAGCCAAATTTATCGTCCGGCAAAATTGCCGATTATCTCGGGATTTTTTATTTATAAGACACCGACGGCTTTTTTCTTTATTTAGCGCAAGCAGAAGTAATGGTTACCTAACGCCATTAGTACGTATTGGCGGAGTAAGTAGGTCTAAAGATGGGCAAGATAAAGAGATAAAGGTGCAGCGCGGTTGCCACATCGTACATGAGAAAAACTGCTTCAATGTGTAAAATAGTGGTCACTTAGTCTTATGGATTCCTGTACGATATTGGGCCTTTTAAAGGTGGAAGTTGAATTTTGTTCCTCGTGGTGTACGCATTGCTCTATGAAACAGTGTGACTTTTCGACCCAGGAAGGACAATATTAAAAGTCTTTTTGACTCTCTAAAGGAAGAATAAAACGTTGGAGAAGAAGAAGAAGAACTTTAACTTACACTATTTGCAAAGTGACACAGTTTTTCAACAGAATAATTAAAGTAGCAAAAACCATTTTGTTTAGTGATATTAATATTAAGGATTTTGGGAGTGCGGTTGGTTATAACCAAACACTTCTATAGAAGATTTAAACTTTTTCGAATTTTGTTCCTCGTGGTGTAAGCATCGCTCTATGAAACAGTGCGACTTTTCGACCCAGGAAGGACAAAATTAAAAGTCTATTTGACTCTCTTAAGAAAGAATAAAACGTTGGAGAAGAAGAAGAAGAACTGTAACTTACACTATTTGCAAAGTGACACATTGAAGCATTTCTTCGACAGAATAATTGAAGTAGCAAAAACCATTTTGTTTGGTGATATTAATATTAAGAATTTTGGGAGTGCGGTTGATTAGAAGGAGTGTTTGGTTTGGGCGTTTTAAAGGTGGAAGTAGAAAAATATTTTTACAAATAGTAACTTTTTCGGATTTTGTTCCTCGTGGTGTACGCATCGCTCTATGAAACAGTGTGACTTTTCGACCCAGGAAGGACAACATTAAAAGTCTATGTGACTCTCTAAAGAAAGAATAAAACGTTGGAGAAGAAGAAGAAGAAGAACTGTAACTTACACTATTTGCAAAGTGACACAGTTTTTCACAGAATAATTGAAGTAGCAAAAACCATTTTGTTTGGTGATATTAATATTAAGAATTTTGGGAGTGCGGTTGATTAGAAGGAGGGTTTGGTTTGGGCGTTTTAAAGGTAAAAGTAGAAACAGATTTTTACAAATGGTAACTTTTTCGGATTTTGTTCCTCGTGGTGTAAGCATCGCTCTATGAAACAGTGTGACTTTTCGACCCAGGAAGGACAACATTAAAAGTCTATGTGACTCTCTAAAGAAAGAATAAGACGTTGGAGAAGAAGAAGAAGAAGAACTGTAACTTACACTATTTGCAAAGTGACACAGTTTTTCACAGAATAATTGAAGTAGCAAAAACCATTTTGTTTGGTGATATTAATATTA